ACCCACAACTTGTTGGCTGTTGTCGGTGACGATGGACTTAGGAATGCCAAATCGGTAAATGATGTTCCTCCATATGAAGCGCTCTATGTCCGTCTGAGTTGTGGTCGTCACGGGCTCTGCTTCTACCCATTTGGTGAAGTAGTCGGTTACCACGATCATCATGCCTCTGCCCCCAGTAGCAGGCGACATAGGTCCTACTAAGTCGATTACCCATTGCATGAACAGCCAAGGACTCGTCTATGGGTGTAGCTTGCTGGCAGGCAATGTTGGTACCGACTTGTAGCGTTTGCAATAGTCATACTTTTGTACTAACTCCTTAGCATCTTGGTGTATGGTAGGTCAATAGTAGCCTACGTTAAAAGCCTTCTGTGCTAAAGATCGACCTCCGGAGTGATTTCCACAAATGGCTTTGTGGATTGAGCTTAGAACCTTCAAGTCATCGGGAGGTGCTAAGCAGCGGAGATGTGGTCCGGTGTAGGATCTTCGGATGAGAATGTCGTTCCAAATGTAGTAGCCTGCTGCCTTGATTTAGAGTTTCCTAGACTCCAGTCTTTCCAAGGGGAATGTGTCGTTAACCAGGTAGTCTATAATAGAACTTTGCCAGTTAGGAGTTACTTTAACCTGTGACACTTCGGCTATCGGCTCTATCTTTATGCTTGGCTTGTCTAGATATTCCACCAAAATAGAGCATTTGAGTTGGTTGAGGGCAGAGCCTAGGCTAGCTAGCACATCTGCGTTGGCATTGTCTGCCTGCGAAACTTGAGTAAAAGTGTAAGTCTGAAATGCCTCAAGCTACTTGCGTACCTTCTCTAGGTATTGCCTCATCCTTGGATGTTTTGCCATGTACTCCCCAGTAGTTTGGTTGGTGATTAGTTGGGAATCGAAATGAATTGCAGGCTTCTTCACCGCCAAGTCTTTTGCCATTCGGAGGCCTACCAGTAGGGCCTCGTACTCTGCTTCATTGTTGGATGCTTTGAAGCCTAGAGTGATTACCTACTCGAGCATTTGAGCCGTCTGGGATGACAAAGACAACGCCTGCTTCTGAGCTTTTGTAGTTGGATGCGCCGTCGACATGCAAATGCCATAAATCTCCGTCAGGGGGAGCAGACGGCTAAGGTGCGCTCGGCTACTTCTGGGGCGTTACTGGGCTGATCTATTACGTCGCCTAGGCTAAGTGCGAATTCTGCTATGAAGTCCGCTAAGGCTTGGGCCTTTATCGCCGTATGGGGTAGAAAAACTAAACCGTATTGGCCAAGTTCCAACGCCCACTTCATCACTCGTTGAGAAGCGTCTGGACCATGTAAGATTGATCGTAGAGGATACTGAGTAGTGATGATGACTGTGTGAGCTTGAAAGTATGGTCTGAGCTTCCAAGCCGTAACAATTTGCGCCAAAATTAATTTTTCGATCTTTGGATATCTTGTTTCCTCATCGAGAAGAACTTTAGAAGTGTAGAATATAGGCAATTGGGCCTCCAGCTCTTCTCGTATGAGGGCAGAGCTCACTGCTACTTCGGAGACTGCTAGGTGGATGTATAAATCCTCCGCTGCTTCCGGCTTGGATAATAAGGAGGTGATGTGAGATATTTCTTCAGGTCTTGGAAGGTTTTTTTGCACTTTTCATCCCATTTGTTACATTGTGCCCTCTTGATAGCCTTGAAAAAGGGCTTGCATCGATAGGTGGACCGCGAGAGAAAGCTGTTGAAGGCAGCTGCTCGTCCGGTCAAGCTTTGGATCTCTTTCAAGATAGTTGGAGACTTTATCTCTAAGATCTCTTGGATTTGCTTGAGATGTGCTTTAATTCCTGGTTGGGTTACTAAGTACCCTAAAAATTGACCTGAAGATACTCCAAATGTGCATTTGGTGAGGTTAAGCTTCATCTTGTACTTTTTGAGGATGTTGAAAGTTTCCGCCAAGTTGCGGATGTGGTCTGACCATTACTTGCCCTTTACCATGATGTCATTGACATAGACCTCCATGGTTACCCCAATTTTCTTTTTAAACATCATGTTTACTAACTTTTGGTAAATGGCTCAAGAGTTTTTAAGGCCGAAAGGCATGACCTTATAGCAGTAAGTGCCTCTCTCGATCACGAACGCGGTTTTCTCTTTGTCGGGCTCGTACATAGCTATTTAGCTGTAGCAAGAGTATGTGTTCGAGAAGCTGAGTAGCTGGTTCCTAGAAGTTGAATCTACCAATAGATCGATCCGAGGGACAAGATAAGGATCTTTTGGGCATGCTTTGTTGAGGTTGGTGTAATAAATGCAAACCTTCTATTTGCCCTTCTCTTTCGTCATGACTAGCAAGATGTTGGCAAGCCATAGGGGTTGACATGCAGCTTGTGGCAAGCCACCTTGGGGTTGATGTCGGGCATGTTGGATGGTGACCATGCAAAAACGTCTCGGCTTTCTCTAAGGAAAGCCGTGAGTTCTTCCTTCTTGGCTGGGCTTAGACGTGAGCTGATTTTAGCCGTCTTTTCTGGCTATTGAGGATCAAGAATGATGTCTGCAGCGTCCTCTTCGGGTTTCCATCCTATCTCCTCTACTTGGGCGCCACCTTATCGATCCGCCTGCTGTAATTGCTATTTGGTAGCCTCTTCGTCCCTATGGACTTCGGTAGCCTCCACGGGGGTAAAGGTTTTCTTCTTTGACTTTTTCAACACTTGCACAGTGCATCGTGAAGGAAATAATTGTGAAAACAAGTTCATTTGATCAACATCTATGCATGCAATTAACAATTAAAAGGCGGAATCATGCTTGTATGCACTCAAAAACAAAACTTAACCCATGAAATTCAAAGCCTAGTAGTTATGGTGAACCAAGACTAAACTAAAAAACAAAGTGAGTTGAGAAATCTTATACCTTTGTTGATTCCTCTTTGCATAAGCAAAGGCTAATCACCCAAGAGATAGAGCCTTCATTCCTTACTTCTTAGCTCCATGGATTTCTTAGAGGATAATGGTTGAAAGGATTCTCCAAGTTCCCAAAATAGAGAACCTCTAATTTTCCACACCAAGGAAAGCATTGATGAAGAGATGAGTGACCTAGAGGAAGTAAGATTGCTAGCTATGTTCCTTTAGGGTGGCCGGCCTCTTAGAGAGCAAAGAGAGCTTTATGTTCTCATCTTTTCTCCAAAGTAAATCCTAAGGATGAAATGGCTATAAAGTTGCCCTTATACAACCTCATAATGGAGTGGCAAACTTGCAATTAAGCCAAGTTCGCTACCCTTCTCTATATGGCCAGAGAAGGGCCGGCCACTTAAGGTTTTATTGGGCTTTCAAGCCCTTTGTGTATTCAAGTTGTCATACAACTTGAGTTAATGAGCTTGACATTCAAATCCTATTGGGCCTTGCGGCTCAAAACTAACCCGAGGTCTATAACGAATTTGTGTGGCTCTTCGGCAGAGTATCTGTGAGTGGACCCCTTCTAAAATGCATGTTTTAATAGTAGAAATGCATACATGATAAGCATGATTACATTTTATGAAACATTTTATGAGATAACATGCTTAAGGAGGCTATTTTGAATTATTACTATTTTTCTTATAACCCGTGTTCTTTATAGAATATTTGATGGATGACGATATCATATTTAGAACATGTTTCAAACACCTCTTTATAGTAAAGATGATGGGTGACTTTATACTTTGAAGTTGCTTTTCAAATATATGTATGTTCCATGATTTTGTACTTACGTAGTGGTCCCTATTCCACTACGGGGCGAGGGATAGATTCTGTCTTGAGCAATAGTTAAGGTGTTGGCATAGGGCCTGAAGGGTTTTTCCCCTGGCAATTAGCCCAGGGACGGGGAGCTGGCACGGGGCCTGAAGGTGATTGTCCTCTGGCAATTGGCACAGGGACGGGGAGTTGGCATAGGGCCTGGAGGGATATTGGACATTCCCTAGTGATTACTATATATACGAGATATGCTTTGAGACATTGCATGGCATGCTAGGTTTCGGAAAACCTATTTTTATCATGTTATATGAGTTTTCATAAAACTTGGGGGTTAGTATGTTGATAACTGTTTTATTTTATATATATATATCAACTTGGTCCACTCATGTTTATTTTGCTCCCCCTTCAGGACTTAGAATTGAGGCATACAATCACAGTGTCTAGGTACTTCCACATCAGCATCTTTAAGTCCTCTCAGTGTATGACCCATCCTCTTATTCATTCAATTTTATATTATTTCTTTTTAGTATTCTAGTTAGTTGTATGCTCTGAACACGTCCCTTAAATACATATTCATTATATTTAAATTTATAAGTCTTATTTATTCATGGCTCTCAGCATTTGCATTCAATAAATGGCTTTCGTCACCCTCAAGTGTCGGCCAGCACGTGACCATCCCGATGTTCCGAGGACATTGGGATCGGGGCGTGTCAGTATGGATGAAATGGAAGACTACATTAGGTATGTTGTGCGACCGCTCAAAGAAATTACTAGATTAAGAATGAAAATATCTGAGGTAAAGTAGGATTCGCTGCAATCGAAGATAAGATGAGAGAAAATTAATTGACATGGTTTGGATATTTGAAACGAAGACCTATAGATGCTTCGATTAGAAAATGCAATTATGAGACAGAGGCTCAAGAAAAAAAAGGTAGATGAAAATCTAGGAAGACTTGGACAGTCTTTAAGAAAAGACATGAAGTACTTTGAGCTAATTGAATACTTGGTATAAAATTGAGGGCAGTGACGTTTTAGAATTCATATAGCCGACACCACTTAGTAAAATAAGCCTTTGTTGTTGTTCTAAAAACTTTTCCTGTAAGTCCAATCTGCCATTAAAATGATTAAAAAAAAAAATGTATGCATTAGTTTTCAAATCCCTTACATAGAATTCCATTATCTAAGTAAAGACTATTGACTCTCGACTAGCATTTTTTGGGTACTTTACTAGGCGCCTTACAGATAACTTTGCCATCTTTTATTAGTGGTTCGATCGCAAACCAATGCTGGCCCTTATTTTCACAATTCATTTAATTACTAGCTAATCAATTGAAATCAATTGGGTATTTAGGCTGTTTGTTTGGGGAAAACAGACCCCAATGTTTTTCAAGCTCTGGGGTCTTTTTATTCTCATCAAACATGGCGAAAATGCAAGTTTCTATGGGCTTTCCAGGTTTCCACGGCGTCCCTTTCTTCACATGTTTAATCAAATTTGAGTTGTAAGTCCTTGCATTATCAATTGTTGTTGAATTTGCACCAGCTGATGGCCAGCCAGTCTCCGATACAACAATTGCCAAAGACCCTGCACCCGCCCTCTCAAGAGCTGCATAAGCACTATCCAAAATTGCATCGAAAAGATTATTGTAACCGAGGTTGCCATCTTGTACTACAACTGAGGGAGCTGTGAAAAGAGCATAATCAAGACGAACGTCCCCACTGCTGCCACTGTAAGCAAAATAAGGGTACATGTTAAGGAGTAGCGGAGAGTTGTTGTCCACGAGGAAAGCAATGAGGGGATTCAAAACTGCTCTATATTCGGACCTGAATACGCCTTTTGATGGAGGAAAGGACACTCCAAGTACTGTAGTGTCAAAAGCAGTGGAAACTTTGATTTGGTTTCCAAGACTACCACTAGAAATTGCATTTTGAATGTTTCGCATTGCCGGGACAAGAAATTGTGCTAATGAGTCCGAGAGCTTGATTTCATTTCCTACCGCATTACATCATCCAAATTGTGTATATTATCATGGCATATGATTCTCTTAAAAAAAACAAAAGGAAAATAGGCTTTTTAGCCAAAATGGTCACTGAAATTTGCATAACACATCACTTTGGTCCCTAAGATTGAAAATGTCCATGAGATTGTTCACCATCCATTATTTTGGTCCTTCTATTAAAAACTTCGTTAAGTGTCCGTGAGCTCTTGATCGGAAGTTTGAGCAATTTTGGAAGTTTGAGCAATTTTCAAAGCTTCGTAACTCAATCGTTTCTTAACCAAATTCGACCTATAATATATCAAAATGAAGATAGGAAAGTGTAGAACAAGGTTATACCCATTTGGAAGGTTGTCTTAGATGACCAGAAAATAGCCTGAAAGGTGACTCATCTACGGGAAACTGAAAAACTCGTCGGAAACTGGGTAAATTTTAAATGTTCATAACTTCTTCAATACTCAACAAAATCAAGTGATTCAAAAATGAAAATCATACTTCACAATGAGAAAAAGAGAATGGTACCTTTATCGACGGCTAACTCGTCGTGGTTTGGTTGGAAAACGGCTCGAAAATGGCTAACTCGACGACCAAGACAAACACTTTTGAGCCATTTACCGGCCAAACCACGGCGAGTTAGCCTTCGAGAAAGGTACCATTCTATTCGTCTCATCTAAAAGTATGATTTTCGTTTTTGAATCACTTGATTTCATTTAGCATTGAAGAAATTATGAATGTTTAAAGTTTACCTAGTTTCCGGCAAGTTTTCCAATTTTCTAGTGGACCAGTCACCTTTCAGGCTATTTTCCGGCCATCTCTGGCAACCATTGGGCGTCCAAATGGTATAATCTTGTTCTACTCTTTCTATCTTTATTTTGATATATTATGGGTCGAATTTGGTTAAGAAACGATTGAGTTACAATGCTTTGAAAATTGCCCAAACTTCCGGCCAAGAGCTCCGGGACATTTAACGGAGTTTTTAACCGAATGACCAAAATAATGGATGGTGGACAATCTCAGGGACCATTTCTATTGGTTTTCAATCTCAGAGACCAAAGTGATGTGTTATGCAAATCTCATAGTCCATTTTGGATAAAAAGCCAAGAAAATATAAAGACATTCGTGTTGATAACATATTAGAAATAAAATATCATATAAGAGAAAGTGGAAGAATAGAGAGAGACGAGAGAGATTGGGAGGAGAAAACCAAAGTGTGTTCTCTTCTTATTAGAGTGCCTATTCATAGACATTGAATTTACATAAAAGGTGTTAAACTATTAAGATATTACATATTGATCCAGCATGTGAACACGATAAGTATTATTAATAACAAGTGTCCATATATAATTCCATAACATAGTTGAGTTTCCACTCTTATTGAAATTAATAGGATATTTAGGTTTGAGTTTCCCCTCTTAATTGAAATCAATGGTATATTTAGGCTGTTTGTTTGGAAAGAAGAGCCCAGTCAGTGGCGGATCCACAGTGGGGTCATTGGGGTCGCGCGACCCCTTGGAAGCCATGGAAGCAACCTTCGAGACCCCTTGGAGATGGTGGGGCGACCCCTGGTGCGACCCCGTTGCCGTTGGAGTCGTCGGTTTTCTGGACAGGAGGACGAACGAAGAAGACGAAGGCGCTGTGCGCCAGTTTTGATTTTGAAAAAACCTGGGCAAAACGACGTCGTTTTGGGCCAGGCCGAAAAAAAAAAAAAAAAAAAAAAAAATTCCCACCGTGTCCCTCCCCATCCCAGCCCTTCCTACCCGATCCCTATACAATTAAAAGCCCCAAATTTTCATCCTTCAACCCTAACTCAATCCCCCCAAATCCTCAACTCCTCTCCTCCATAGCTGCTGCCGCCCCCAACGTGAACTCCATCTCCTCCCTCCTCTGCTGGTGGCTCCAACTCCATCTCCTCCCTCCTCTGCTGGCGGCTCCAACTCCATCTCCTCCCTTGGTTTTTATATTGTGATGTGAGTATTTATTTTGAATATTTTGTATATGTAGAATATATTTAATTAATTGAAATTCAATTCATATTTATCTTGTGAGTTTTTATTGATGATTTTGTTATATATGATGATTTGTTTATATTGTGAGTTTTTATTGGTTTGTTTTTATTGATGGTTTGTTTTATATTGTGATTTTTTATTTTCATTATTTTGTATATGTAGAATGCAAGATGAGATATTTAATTTAATTGAAAAATCCAATTCATATTTATTTTTGATTATGTTTATGGTTTGTTTATATTTGAGTGAGTATTTATTTTGAATATTTTGTATATGTAGAATATATTTAATTTAATTGAAATTCAATTTCATATTTATTTTGATTATATTGATGGTTTGTTTATATTGTGAGTTTTTATTTTCATTATTTTGTATATGTAGAAATTAGAATGCAAGATGAGATATTTAATTTAATTGAAAATCCAATTCATATTTATTTTGATTATGTTTATGGTTTGTTTATATTGTGAGTATTTATTTTGAATATTTTGTATATGTAGCAAGCATTATTATGGAACGGTTTTTTTAAGAGAAAGTCATCATCGGGTTCGGGTAGTTCGAATAATGTTGATAGTTCAAATACTGTTGGTAGTTCAAGAACTCCAAGTTCAAGACAAAGTCAGTTAGATGATGTTTTGGGTAATCTTCAAGCGGATCCTGGATTAAGAACTCGAATAATAGATTATGACGCTAATATGAGAGATGAGGTCCGAAGATTATATCTACAAAAAGGACCTTGTCAACCTAGAGGTCATAATTTCCCAATAACTAATATGTCGGGAATTAATCGACGCTTCATTCCCCAATGGTTTGATGAGTTTGATTGGTTGGAGTATAGTGTATCTAAAGATGCGGCATTTTGTCTCTATTGCTATCTCTTTAAAACCAATTTTTGAACAAGTGGGTAGTGAAGCTTTCACTGGAGATGGATTTAAGAATTGGAAGAAAGGGAGAGAAAGATTTAAGATGCATGTTGGACCGGTTGGGAGTGTTCATAATAAGGCTAGAGAAGCTGCTACAAATTTGATGAATCAAGCTACACATATTGAAACGGCAGTGAGCAAACACTCTGACCAAACTCGTAAGGCTTATCGCACATGCTTGATTGCTTCAATCAAGTGCACTAAGTTTTTATTGCGACAAGGTCTTCCTTTTCGTGGCCATGATGAAAGTGCCACTTCAAGCAATAGGGGAAATTACTTGGAGTTATTGCAATTCCTTGCAGATAATCATGATAAAGTTAGAGAAGTTGTGATGGAAAATGCTCCGGGGAATCTCAAATTACTAGCTCCTTCCATTCAAAAAGAAATTGTGAATTCATGTGCCCTTGAAACACTTGATGCTATCATGGATGGTCTAAAAGATAAATTCTTTTCAATATTGGTGGATGAAGCACGTGATGTGTCTGTGAAAGAGCAAATGGCTATGGTGTTGCGTTATGTGGATGACAACGGGCATGTAATTGAAAGATTTGTGGGTATCCAACATGTTACCGACGACACTACTTCAAGTTCACTAAAGGATGCTATTGACACATTGTGTTTTCTCGCTACGGTTTGAGCATTTCCAAGCTACGAGGACAAGGTTATGATGGTGCTAGCAATATGAGAGGTGAGTTGAATGGCCTTAAAACAAAGATATTGAGAGAACAACCTTGTGCATATTATGTTCATTGCTTTGTTCATCAACTTCAACTAGCTCTTGTTGCCGTAGCAAAGAATAATATAGACATTGCCTCTTTTTTTGCAACGGCTAATAATGTGGTTAATCATGTTGGAGCATCTTGTAAGCGGCGTGATTCACTTAGAGGGCAACTTCAAGAAGAGCTTGTGATAGCTTTTGAAAATGATTGTCTTATAACGGGGCGAGGCTTAAATCAAGAAACAAGTCTCAAACGTGCCGGTGACATACGATGGAACTCACACTCACACTATGGTACCTTGATTAGCATCATTTCTATGTTTTCATCCGTGGTTCATGTGCTTCAAATGGTTATTGATGATAATCCCAATGAAAGTGTGGGTGAAGCAAATACGTTAATGAGAGTGATACTTACTTTTGAGTTTGTGTTTCACTTTTTCTTGATGAAAGTCATATTGGGACTCACAAATGATTTGTCACAAGCATTGCAAAGGAAAGATCAAGAAATTGTGAATGCAATGGCTTTAGTGAAATCATGCAAGGAAAAGCTATATTGGATGAGGAATAATGGGTTCGATGCATTGGTTGATGAAGTATCTTCTTTTTGTGAAAAACATCATATTGATGTTCCTAACATGGAAGAGGCATTTATACTTCCAGGGGAGGTCAAGGCGTTATGCTCCAATAAAGACAAATCGTCATCATTATCGTGTGGAGCTCTTTATTTATGTCATTGATGAGCAAATTACGGAGTTAGAGGATCGCTTTAATGAGGTAAATACCGAGTTGCTTATTTGTATGGCATGTTTGAGTCCGAAAGATTCATTTGTAGCTTTTGATAAACCAAAGTTACTTCGTCTTGCTCAATTTTATCCTCAAGACTTTTCGGATGAAGATCGTTTGGCACTTGAACTTGAAGATCAACTTTGAGATTTATATTCATTATGTGTGTTCCATTCCAGTAGTGATTTCTCTCAATTGGAAGGGATTGGTGATCTTGCAAAAAAAATGGTGGAGACAAGGATGCATCAAGTATTCAATTATGTATATTACATTGTCTTTAGTTTTACCAGTTGCAACTGCTTCAGTGGAGAGAGCATTTTCTGTCATGAATATTGTTAAGGGTCCACTTAGGAACAAAATGGGAGATCAATGGTTGAGTGATAGCTTGCTTGTTTATATTGATTGAGAGAGATATTTTTGCTTGTATTGAAAAATGCTATAATGCTATCGTTGCTTCGTTTTCAAAATATGAAACCTCGTCGTGGACAATTATAGTTTGTAATATTGTTTCCATTATGAATTATGAATGAAAGTACTATGATTTCATTTTCAATATGTTTTTCCATCCTAAATTTTTATTTGAACTTTTACACTGCGACCCCTTGGGGTAAGATTCCTGGATCCGCCACTGCCCCAGTGTCTCTCGGTCTCTTCTCCAGGTTTTTGGTTCTCATCAAACATGGCAAACACGGCAAACACGTAAGTGTCTATGGGGCTTTCAGGTTTCTTCGGAGTCCCACCCTTCACATGTTTAATCAAATTTGAGTTGTAAATTCTTGCATTCTCGGTCGTTGTCACTTGCTCATCTCCGCCAGCAGAGGGCCAACCAGTCTCCGATACAACAATTTTCAGAGAGCCGCCTCCAGCCTTCTCTAATACTGAGTAATGTGCATCTAGAATTGCATCAAACAGGTTTTGATACCCAAGCCGATCGTCATTGACTACAACCGATGGAGATGTAAAAAGAGCGTACTCGAGTTTAATCTTCTGACTATTTTGAATGTAACTAAAATATGTGTACATGTTAACAAGTAAAGGAGATTGGTTTCTGACTAGGAAGCTTATGATAGGATCGAGAAATGGTCTATAATCCGGCCGGAATAAGCCTTTTGATGGAGGAAATGATTCCTTGAGAATTATAGGAAAAACGGCAGTGGAGACTTTGATTTGGTTTGCAAGACCAGCCCTAGAAATTGCATTTTGAATATTGTCCATCGCAGGGCCAACATAGGGTGCTCGGTTACCCAGGGCATCTACTTCGTTTCCAACGGCGATGTATTTGAAATTGACATTCGGATAGCTTTTGACATTTCTTTGAACCCAATCATCTGCACGGGCTTGGTTAGAAGAAATGTCTTGAAGACGCTCATTTTCGATGCCAAGCATGACCTCGATGGTGGAGCCTTGAAGGGCTCGGAGAGCGTCGTCGTTGGGAGCATATAGCCGTAGTTTTTGGATGTTATATTGTTTGTAGAGAGCTATTACTTCTCCTGAGGGTGGCAAGTTTCCAAGCGTTCCATAACAAACACCAATGCTTGCTCCTGCATCAGATTCAAAGTTAATGATATTTATAAGATACAGTATCTTAAAAGAAAAGGAGTTTTAATACTCTTTGTTTTAACCGAATCACACGCATAACAATTGTCAAAGTTTATTGTACAACGGTACATAATAGTGGTGAGGTTATAAAATGATAGTGTTTTTACACTACCAACGTTGATTGTTACATCGTGAATGTCTTGTTACATTATTGACATAAGTTAATATTAATGTGTGTGTGTGTATGTATGTATATCTATATATATATATCATGAAATCTATTATCGTTGTTAACTTTTAGGCTTCCTACCATCATGTTTAATGGTGTTATAATATGAAAGTTATGACATAACGTCTTAATTATAAGAAATGTAAGGTTACTAAAGCAAATTAAGATACAAAATAAATAAATAGATGTATATTACAAAAAAGCGTAGTAGCCCTTTGATTTATGGAGAAGCAACTTATGACTTGAAAGGTATGCACACATGGTACGAACATGCAAGTGTGCAATATTTGAGAGAGAGAGAGAGAGAGAGAGAGAGAGAGAGAGAGAGAGAGAGAGAGAGAGAGAGAGAGAGAGAGAGAGAGAGAGAGAGAGAGCCTTAGTGGTAAAGGTAGCCATTAGCAGACCAACAAGTAGCATTATGGAAACCATGGGAGGGCTTTTCCCAATCAAATTGGACGACTCGACCATTGTGCAATTTCTTACACAGCTAGCCAATTAGATGGAGAAATGAAATAGTTAACAAGGAAAGACACTGCCTCTCCAACTTGTGAGGTGCCCTCTTTATATACAGCTCAAGTCACGGACTCAGAAGATAATTGCATGCATAGGGGGTGGTACGTACTACTCGAATAACACCGTTTGGTCCTTTCTTTTCCACAAAATCAAGTGGTGGATGTGTAAATTGACTTATATGGTCTTCTAACGAAGTCTCCTCTGTCGTCTCCAGAAAATTCAAGCATTACACTGTATTGGTCTTTTTTTTTTTTTCACAAAGACAAGCGGTGGATGTGTCAATTGATATGGTCTTCTATCGAAGTCTCCTTTGTAGGCTCACATTTAAGGTTTACAGGTCGGTAATGTGCATGTCTGAGAGATTTTTCAATTAATGTGACCAGCACACGAGGTAATATACCACGTGTCATTATACAAATAATGGGATATATGTGTTAAAAAGTTAATAATTTCACTACTTACATAAAAACACGTGGTGTATCACTCGTGTTCCCACCACAATGAAAAATTTGTCGTGCTTGTCGACCATGCAAAACATAGAACACTACAACACGTTATTTCATTAATTGATGCGTTGTTTTGTTGTTGCAACTTAGTAATCGGTGTGTAACTGCAGGTAAGCTCAAAAGTTGTTCCCGTCCCTGTAAGGGAGATGTCAACCATCTCTCCTTTCTACGAGCACTATAATTGCAGCAATTGAAGTAAGGAATGAAGATCATCTTTCAAATTTGAAGATTAATAGGAGGGACAAAATATGTTTTAAAATAGGATATACCATTAGATAAAATACTTTTTTATGACATTTGAATCAATAGCATTTTTAAAATGTCACGCGGGACTCCGCTATTTCAGGTATCTTAAAAAATTTGACTTTAACATGACAACAAAAACACATCATACATGACATTTAAATAATGTCATGTACAAATCAAGTTGGATGACATTTTGTGAGTGTCATAAAAATGAAAACTAGTTTCCATGGCGCTGTGTTAATGAAGAAAATATTGAAAATGCCATCTGGTACAACTTTAACGACCTGTGTGCCATAAACGCCATTAACATGCGTCATTAAAAGTCTTTTTTAATTTTTTATTGACATTATATACTCTAAACTGGGATATGTGATTCCAACTTGATTGTAAGTAGACTAACCTAACTCATACTTATAAGATTTTTTTTTAGTGAAGGTACGATATTCATTGATAGAAAATCGAATACATACAAACATGATAGGGTGCATACAATGGGCTTCGATAAAAACCTTGTAAGGGATTTCAACCCGGACGAAGGAAAAAGAGAGTCCTACACCATGAGAGATTACATATGATTACTATCCTCAATTAAAAGGTCTATTATTACATCAAAAGGTTCCTCGAACCAAGCTACCGAAGTATCAAGGGCTAAACCCAATCTAGCCAACCTATGTACTACCTTGTTCGTCGAGCATCGGCCAAATGTAACCTTGCACTGAGAAAAACCATTTAAAATCTATCTAGTATCTGCAATAATGTGCCTCAAAGAAGATGAATCCTTTAGGCCCTCATGTTGACGTGCCGTGGTCACCATCAAAGCATCCCCTTCAACTTCCACGTATGTAGTCTGCTGGTGTTGTGAAAAAAATCACTGCTTCCCTTGCTGCCATAATCTTTGCCAACAATGGAGAACCAGTTCCCTCAACTCTCATTGCTATTATAGCCATGAATTCCCCTTTGTCGTTTCATATCACTACCCTCATTCCTCAAATCTCTAACTGTTCATTCCACGTCGCATCAAAATTACTTTTAATCCACCCATTTTTTTGTCGCTTCCATGGCTGCCTAGTGACCATGTTGGTGTTCTTCCTCAACCCATGCCATTTAAGGAATTCATGTAGCCATGTATGCACTTTACAGTGCATTTCCGAAGGCTCCAGAGCCTTTCCATTCCACAACATTGCATTACGTTCTGTCCATGTGCACCAAATTAAAACCATTACCAAGTCAAAACTCTCCCCCGACATTGAACCTGCAATGGCAGCTATCTATTCCATCAAGCTCTACTGCCTATCCCCTTGGCTTCTGATACCTAGTGGACTAGAAAACCACACCACCATCGCACGGGGACAGAACCTCATCACGTGATCAATCGTTTCCACATCCCCATCACAAAACACACACGTATGTGTAATTTCTTTTTCCTCAAGTTGTCCCTTGTCGATAATGCATCCAAGTAGCATCTCAACACACAGATTTTTACCTTCCCCGACACGTGAGCTCTCCATATCACTTTCCACAAAAATTTGACCTCCGCTACCATTATCGAACCACTAGGTTCATTCCTATTTACTTCCCCATAATACCGTCCCAAATGGTATGCACTCCTCGTTATAAACTTTCCATTTGACTCCACATTCCATATTAAGATATCATCTGTACTAAACATGCAAAGAGAGATGCATTTGATTAGTGCTACCTTTTCCTCCTTGATCTTGGACAAGATTGCACCTACAAAACAAATAACACCTTAGGTCAAGGCCAAGAGCCTCACGCGTCCATGATGAATGAGGGGGGCTTTGGCCGAAGAACCTCAGATGCCAAAGTTAGAATTTAGAGAGAAAAATGTTTGAGAGTTTTGGAGAATTTTAGCAAGAGTGTGGACTTAGCTTTTTAGAGAAAATAAGGTTCAATATATAGAGTATGGCCGGCCCTCTTGGGAGAGAGAATGGCCGGCCTTTTGGGTAATTTTTAAGTGTAATGGGTGATTTATTTGGTAATTAATGGATTAATTAGGTAATAAATCCATTAATTGGCCAATTAACTCAATTTATATGGAATGTTTTGAAGGTTATGGAATAATTTCCTTGTAGGAAATATAGGATGAGGTTGGATGAAATAGTTTTGAATTTGTTACCTATTTTGGGCACTTTTGACTTGGTTGAGTGATGATTGCCCGTTGATCGCGCGTAGGAATCCCATTATGCCTAAAGGGTATTTTTGTCCTCTTTTATCCAAAAATCCACGTGTCGCCTTGTGATTATTTTTGGCTCCACAAATGCCCTCACACCTGTTGGGCTGCTTGCAGGAAAGGGCAGCAGGTGTAGAGATCTTCTTGCTTTACGAAACTTTGGATTGATTCCTATTTTGATGTAGATTCCCTTTTTAATAGGAAATTAGATCCTTCTAGGAAAGGGAAATAAATTTCTCTCAAAGCCTATTTAAGTCCACCTAAGTGGATTATTAAATCAACTTTGAAGAGCAATTTATTCTACCCTACAAGAGAGAGAGAGATTAAAGGATATTTGTTCCCCCTCCTCTAGCAATCTTTTACATCTTGCCTGTGCAAATGACTGTCTTTCGTTGCTTTCTTCATTTTCTCTGTGCCGCACTGATGTAAGAAAAATTTCTTTTTTCTTGTCTTGTTCTTGGATAATGCTATCGCAGGGTAGCCGTCAGGGTGGTGTGTCAAGTCGGATGGGACCATTGCTTTAGGCTGCTCAGCTTGGCTAGAACCAAGGGCAGCTTGTGCGGCTGGGACCGCAGATTGTGGCACTGGGGCACGGTACTAGGCGAGCCGTATGCCTCATGTCTTTTGAGAGAAACGAGGAGGTCGCGGGCCTTATGAGCTGCTAAAATGCTGGGCATGTAGGCCTCCTACCTGCTAGTCCGAGAGAAAAATGAGGGAAAAATCGGTATGGGTTGAGCTCCCTTGCTGAGTACTATGAATGACGTTGGCTGCTTAATCCTCTTCATTGGGAAAAAGGTAAGCTGCTCCCGAAAGATGAGGTAAAGAGGATCAAGGCAGATGTATTGGCTTGTCTGAATGCTGTCGTGGAGCCTACTATGAATGAAGGTGGAAAGAAGAGATATTCTCCGCCTGCTCAAGAGATGCCAGTTGAGAAAAATTGAAGACTTCCTCCGTTGCTTGTGAGGGTCCGCTTGCTGCCCAGAAGCTTGTGATTGACATGACCTCTTCCAATGGGAAGAAAATAAGGCTACTAGATCTGAGCATATGGCGTCTGCCATGTCGAGAATGGCTAGTACAATTGGTGCATCTCCGTTATTTCTTCACTCTCTTCCTTACACTATGTACGATCCATTAGTTTCCTTTTAGCGAGGTAGTGGACAATTAGAACTTTTCAAATCGATTGTGAATTGAAATATACTTTCAATTCTCCCATTAGTGATTATACACCTTTAGGGCTTCCACAAACCATGAGTGACACCTAGCAGTATGTCATGGCTACCCAAGCTAATCAGAAGAGGTGGAGAACCTATTTAGTTTAGGATTACAATGCAATACGGTATTTCTCTAATACAATACTCTTGACCATATTCTTTGGTTTGATAGTTTATTCATGTCTACTATCCAATGTGATTCATTTTCTTATATGATTACCTTTAATGTGATTTGGAATAACTTCCTAAATCTCATTCATACTTTGGCCAGAGATTCTTAATCATATCATAGAGTATTCTCCCTCAAACTGTTTGAAGGTTAGAGATCCCTTGTTGCGTATTCACTTGCCTTAATGGCTAAGTGGCTTAACCCTAACTATGTCGTGGACACCCTCTGACAGAGTGACTTTGACATAGTCAAAGATCAAGGACCTAACCATAAGACAACTGTAATGCCTCAGGTCAAATGATTACTTTGCATTATCCTAACCATGTTCTTATGTGACATGAATATGAGAACTCCTCGTTGATCGCGTTCAGTGGACTCATTCTCTATTGAGCACCTACATACTTGTCTTGGTGTTAGTTGCATCAATGACTCGAGACCAGTTACTCTCCCTAAGAGAAGACATAGCACGTACTGATCTTAATAGACTATCAATACCTAATTGGCAATCCTATGATCAAGAACGTTTAGGATATGTATAGAAAAAAAAGAATGGTCTCTAGAATCTAACTTCTTTAGATCACATTCTCCTAATTACATATTCCTTAGACTTTATCGTTTAAGCATATAACATTTATATGAGACGGCTTAAAACAATAATCTTTGCCCTTTATATTAAAGTATATTAGTTTAACATGTGAAATGTCCGTAAAGTATCATCATATGATTGGTTTTAAGGCACATTATTAACACATAGTCGAGATGCGACCTCGTCAGATTTGATCTCTCCGACTCCTCTTCACGGGATGCTGAATCAAATTTTTTGATACTTAACGGAAGTGACGGCATCTAGCTTAAGCAACCAAGGTCTCCTAAGAATCCCATTGTAGGGAGATGGGTTGCTTACGATCGTGAACATCTGCTTTGAGACAACTGGTAATGTTTTCATTTTCACTTCAAGTGTGATGTGGCCGATGACAGTTGAGGTGTGTTCATTGAATCCGGTGAGTACCTCTGCTCGACGTATGATTGTGCTTTCCATGCCCATCTTGTGAATGACTGAAAGTTGAAGTAGGTTGACTGCACTTTCGTTGTCAACCATCATTCTGTCGATTATGGCATAGGCTAGTTGGACAGATATTACTAGTGCGTCGTCGTGTGGGAAATCTACGCCATCTGCATCTTGCTTGATGAAGTCAATAATAGGTCCAGGTTGGGTGTTAACTGCTTGGACATGTGAGACTAATAGAGCCTGCTGGATCTTCCTCTTCTTAGAGTTGCTGGTGGCCCCCAAGTGCTCGGAGTCGGCAAAGATACCATTGATTCGAATCGTCTTAGTTGGTGGCTCTTCGTCGTCGTCTG